TACTAAATGAGGGAAACACATCCAAAGTTCTCAATTGAGAACATTATCCAAGTGTTTGTATGACCAGAGCAGGCAAGAGTGCTGGTTTTGTTTTATCAGTGGTAGGAGCCAATTCAGCCCTGAATCCCCCATCCTCCTAAACACACACGGTACTCCCACAATATTGGAAGGGACGTTGCCCGACCATCCATACCCAAATTTACGTTCTTGAGAGCAAGGCAGAAATAGCCTCTGTATTCCAGTATCCCCATTACTGTACTTGTGGTCATCCAGTTTGACCTGTTGGGAAAAATATATGAGAATGACATTTGCTCAATCTTGCATATAGCCATACTCATTAAAAACTATTTTTTTATGACCTCTCATGTTTTCTGAATTCATAACTCGATCCATCCAATGTTTGCAGATTGGGATGGTTTTGGAAAAGTCTCTGCACACTCATGTTAGCACTGTGCCAGACTCGTGCTTGTCAATCCCTTAAGCAAATCGAGCCACGTGCATTTGGGCAAATATATTGCAAGTAACAAATGTGACCAAAATAACCTGTGTTTAAACTGATATTTTTAAATTGACTTTTAAATCTGTCCTCCAGCCCAAGATGTCTATTGGCCTGTGCTATAGTACTGACATCCATTGCAAAAAACTTTGCTTAATGATCCGAGGTTACCAATCAAGTGCAGGAACGGCTCAGCAAAACAGTCTATTGACGTAAAAGCCTTTTGACCAGGTTACTTCCCTGCACAAATCAACAGGAGATGTTTTTTTTTCACTATACAAAAACTGCAATGGACCAGTCTTTGGAAAGTGTCAAAATGGAAAGTGAGAACAGAAAATGAGCAAAACAGATCAAACAATTTAGAGGTAACCTGAAAATACTTCATCTTGAGATGTGATACTTAAAGACATGATGATCCAGCACAATATTCTACTGCTGAACTTGTGGGTTTGAATCGTTCCATGATTCTTCTGTGGATCGCCGCAATGACAAATAAGAATACTTCTGGAAAGTATATGTCATGAGTATATTGTCTCAAACTTACCTGTTTACATGTTTGACTCAAATTGTCATTAGTTTGTTAAATTCTAAACTGGGATCTATGTTAACATCATATCTGGTCAGATATGATTTTTAAATTTGTACATTTTTTGCTATATTCTCCTCTTGTGGTCTAATGCTGAGGTTCTCTTTGTTACAATTGGAAAAATTGACAGTTGCATAACAAAATTCAGAATATCAGCTGCATTTGGTCACCACTGTGACTTTATGCAGAAATTATTAGTTTATTGCACTGTTATACTGTTTTATGTTCTATAATCTCTGGACCACTTATTTCAGTCTTGGTCTTGCCTTGGAATTTATTTTATTTTGACTCGGTCTTGTCTCAGTCTCGGACATAGAGGAATCCAGATTTTATTTCAAGACCAGTCAAGACCACTCATCAAAACACCTCAATATTTATCACAACAGCCTAATATTTGTCTGTTTGTTAACACAATACTGTGATTGGGTGTAAAATGTCTTGCTTCAAAGTTCAAATGCAGCCAATATGGTGCGTCTTATTTGAAAAAATGTTTCTTTTTGTAACGGTCATATACCCTTCCCCACATCCCTGAACTGTCACATGCTCTCAGACACCCTGGCTGAATTCCAGTTAACGTGTCAGCTAGTTCCTCTGTCATTAAATTTGTCTGTATTAGTTATAAAGATTTGCAAAGTAACTGCAAAGAAAAAACATTCAGCAATGTGCAGATTCTGCAACACAGCTCTCACCGAGACGACCAGGACAACCTCCAACACCAACCCCACACTTGGAGAAAAAGCATAAGGAAAGGTAGATTAAGTAGCTAGCAAGCTAATGTTAACAACCTGTCTCTGTATCAGAAAAATCTTATAAACCCCTTAATCTAAAGACTAGTATACTATATGTTTCAGGACCATAGTTTCAGCTGTTTGACAGCAAACCTTAACTTTTGCCATCTAAGGCTAACGTTAGGTGCTGACATCACAGAAGCAGCCAGTGTTAACTAGCACTATCTACCTAATTTAGTGAATCAACGTAATATGGAGGAATGTAATGTAACATTAGACTAAGGCGACAGCACATGGTGACATTGATTTTCCTAAGTTAAAGTTTCGTTTTTGCTTGTGATGGACAATGACGAGGAGGTGACATAGTTGTAACGTATGTTAGCTAATTTTATTATGTAGGCTCAAACCTTAGTCTGTTTCTTATCTTGAGTTGGTCTAGCCCTGCCTTGGTCTTGGTCTTGTCTTGGTTTCGATGGAAATGACTTGGTCTCGGTTTAGGTGGCCTTGACTCCATCTGTAGTGTGATCCATCTGCTGTAAGATTAGACACTGTGACCCTGTAGCTGTTTAGCTAAAGAGGTAGAGGATGTATATGACTTTTGAAGTTGGTCATGCAATTTGATTCTTATAACACAATGTTGCAAATCAAAAAGTAAAAGTTGATTAATAACCTAGAATCACTAAAGTCAGTCTTAATAATACTGTGCTGCATTAAGGAAGAAATAAAGGTCAAATATACACTATATTGCCAAAAGTATTGGGACACCCATCCAAATCATTAAATTCAGGTGTTCCAATCACTTCCATAGTCACAGGTGTATAAAATCAAGCACCTAGGCATGCAGACTGCTTCTACAAACATTTGTGAAAGCATGGGTCGCTCTCAGGAGCTCAGTGAATTCAAGCCTGGTACCGTGATAGGATTCCACCTGAGCAATAAGTCCATTTGTGAAATTTCCTAGCTACTAAATGTTCCACAGTCATGGTATTATAACAAAGTGAAAGCAATTTGGGACAACAGCAATTCAGCCACGAAGTGGTAGACTACGTGAAAATCACAGACTGGGAACAATGCATGCTGAGCCGCACAGTGTGCAGAAGTCGCCAACTGTCGGTAGCTATGGACCTCCAAACTTCGTGAGACCTTCAGATTAGCTCAAGAACAGTGCCTAGAGAACTTCATGGAATGGGTTTCCATGGCGGAGCAGCTGCATCCAAGCCTTACATCACCAAGTGCAATGCATAGTGTTGGATGTAGTTATGTAAAGCACGACACCACGGGACTCTAGAGCAGTGAAGACGTGTTCTCTGGAGTAACAAATCACGCTTCTCTGTCTGGCAATCTGGTGGACAAGTCTCGATTTGGCAGCTGCCAGGAGAACAGTACTTGCCTGACTGTATTGTGCCAAGTGTAAAGTTTTGTGGAGCAGGAATTATGGTGTGGGGTTGTTTTTCAGGGGTTGGGCTTGGTCCCATAGTTCCAGTGAAAGGTCTCTTAATGCTGCAGCATTCAGAGCCATTTTGGACAATTTCATGCCCCCATTTTTGCGTGAACAGTTTGGGGATGGCCCCTTCATGTTCCAACATGACTATGAACCAGTGCATAAGGCAAAGTCCATAAAGACATGGATGAGTGAGTCTGGTGTGAAGGAACTTGACTGGCCTGCACAGAGCCCTGACCTCAACCCGATAGAACACCTCTGGGATGAAGTAGAGTGGCCACTGTGAGCCAGGCATTTTTGTTCCAACATCAGTGCCTGACTTCGCAAATACTCAAATGGTCAAAAATCCCCATGAACACACTCTTCCCAGAAGAGCTGAAGCTGTTATTGAAGCCTGTATATTAAAAATGGGATGTCATTAAAGTTCATGTGAGTGTAAAGGCAGGTGTCCCAATACTTTTGGCATTATTATGTGTGTGTGTGTGTGTGTGTGTGTGTGTGTGTGTACATATATACAGAATGGGACCGAGGGGTGTCCGTAAGTCAGAAATGCCCGTAACTTGGAAATACATGCACAGTACGACGTAGATGTACATTTGTACACATACAAACTACATGATATTTACCAAAGGTAACAAGCTTTGTCCAGCCTTTGGAAATGTGTATCGCTAACAATGCAATGCTTCTTAGCTAATGCAGGATTAGCGGTAATTGTCACATGCGCCTCGATTTTTTTTTTCTTTACTCTTCCAAATATCGCCTGCTGTAGACTCCAAAATGGTCTACGACAACTCTCTGTGATCTTCCTTGTCGTATCTCTGTAACGATATCAAGCTTATTTTGGAGGGATATGAGACTATGCTTCCTTTTTGAAGTCATAGATTTTGCACAGCTGCTGGTTGTGTAAGATAGAGGGAGGTGCCCATATATTGAAAGTTTAACTGTGTGTATGTGTGTGTGTATATATACAGTATATATACACACACACACACACAGATGCTCCTCTACTTATGAACTTTCAACTTACGAACTTTCAAAGATACGAAGGAGAAAAGGACTGTAAATCCAAATTGTGTTCGTTGGGCTCCCGTTTCCTATCCCCAACATCAAATTTCTTTTCTGCGCGCCAATTCTGCCTAGTACGACTTCTGGCCGCTGTTCCCCCCACACAGCAGCGTAGCGTAGCGTACTCCCAGCATCCTAGTTCTTTGTACTTGCGTATACCCTTAAAATTATGTTGAATAACGACTTAGGAACATTTCAAGTTACGAACGGCCGTCTCTATGCCTGTGATCAGAAGATCATTGGTTTGAGCCCTGGTCTCAGCAGGACAGTCACATGGCTGTGGGCCCTTAAGCCCAGTTCCAGGGGTGCTGCACGTTAGCTCACACTGCGCTGTGACCCCCAAACATATGGAGAGCAAGATGGGGTTAGTGAAGAGAAACATTCTGTACTTGAACTTGTGCAAATGGCAAATAAAGCATGTTTGTTTGTTCCCGCCTCGTGCTTGTAGCCTCTGGCTCCAGACCCCCCGCGACCCTGAATAGGACAAATGGGTACAGAAAATGGATGGATGGAAATATATATTCTTTGATTAATTATTCCAAAAATCCTGTATACAACAAAATAATGCCTTTTTCTTACTCCCAAGAAGTTATATTTTTTTATATTCACTCATTCCCATCAAGAACTTTAAAACAGCTTTGCTTCTCATGAATCGCTTTCAGGTTCAGTCATCAAAAACTAACGTCAAATTTAGTTTTTTATTGTTTACAAAGCTACAGATACAGTTCTAATAGATGCCAAAGAGTGACAAGATTGTATTTGCAAATGTAGAACTGAATCACACATTTAATTTGTACAGAACTTATTTTTACAAAACAAGGATAAAAATGTTTTGTTTTTTTTTTGTTTTTTTTTTACACAAAGTACCTTAAAACATAGGTACATTGAGGACATTTCAACTACATGGTAGTCACGTGTGTTTATGTATTTCTGGCCCAACTGCTTAAATATATTAGGATTTTCTCCATTTTCAGTTTTTTGTTTCAAGTCAGGATTTCTGTCCTTAGTCTGCCTTTACAGATCAGGAATATGTACAAATCAGCCGGTCACCGTAACTACTCTGTATGTTTACAGTATGTCAGTTAATGTACCTTTATTTTTAGGTCTATTGCACCCATTTTTTGTATTACCATCATCATTACAAAAACAAAATGTCGAGAAACAAGTAATATGGTAACAGAAAGTACATCCATGCTCAATAAAAAAGTAACAGGAAATTTAGCTTTGTTTTTTAATATCTAAATAATACAATTTGTGCTTTGATAGTGAATAATTTAGCAAGAGAGATTCCTGCTTTTAGCACAGAAATATGCCCTTCTTCTGGTTTCGTGCTCTCCTCTTGAAAGTCTCAAGCTCCGTCCACAGACCCAATACAGCAAGAAGGAAACACGACCCGTCTCTGACTATTGGTGTGTGTCGATGCCACACTGCAGGGGCTAGGGGGGCGCCCTACATGACGATCGATTTGAGGTTCCTGAAGCACATGATCACATCCAGGGGGATGGGTGGACTCACATGGTTTCCATCCAGCCTCAGGTACCTCAGCTTGGGAAGTAGGCTCTCGTCATGGGGCTCAATGGACATCACAGGAAATGGGCAGAGCTCTGTGCCGTTAATCACTGAAAGAAAGACATGGGACAGCACTAAGAAACGCCCGATTAGTAAATCATACTTCCGTACTTCATACTTCATACTTTTTGGACCGATATAGACAGAAATTCCTACTTATGCATTTACGCAATACCACATGAAACTAGTATGGGAAGTTTGGCCAGCTCAAATGTTCTCCAAAATACTCTTTAATAATAAACAATAATGACATATGTCAGAAATGTGACTGCCATAGTTGTGTGGTTCATAAAGTAAGTTATATATCTTGTATAGTAATAATACGATTTGACTTACTTTCAATGTTATTGTTGTTGAGATATAGGTGTTCCAAATGCATGTTGAAAGTGGGCACAGAGTTCAACTTGTTGTGGGCCAGATGCAGATCCAGGAGGCTGGACACATTGAAGACCCTCTTGGGGATGCCTCTGTCACTCAGCTGGTTGAAGTTAAGTCGGACGAAGGCTAGGTTGTGGAAATCCTTGAAGTAGTCCATAGGGATGTCCTCGATGTTGTTTCTGTCCAGGAATAGCTGGTAGATATTTTGGGGAACATTACTAGGCATCTTCCGTAGGATGTTGTGGGCCAGGTTGAGCTGCACTAGGTTCCTCAAGCCCTTGAAGACGTTCTTGCCAAGGTCACTGTCACTCAACTTGTTATGGTGCAGATCAAGCAAAACCAGGTGGTCCATCTTGTTGAAGAGGCCAGTTGGGATTTTAGTGATCTGGTTGCGGCTGAGGCGCAGCTGTTCTAGGCTTGCCGGCAGGTTGTTGGGAACCTCCTTTAGGTTGTTCTTGTCCATGTACAGATACAGGAGGTTGGGGAGCTTTTCAAAGACTTGCCGCTCCACCCTGCGGATACGGTTGTTATCCAGGTTAACCCATTTGAGCTCGGTGGCATTTTTGAATGGCTCGGCTGTCACCTCGTCAATATAATTGTTTTGGAGGTAGAGGTATTGTACGCGGGGTGGGATTAAGGGGATCTGACGGATGTTCCGGTTTTCACAGTTCAGCGAGTCAGGGTAAGAGGGGTGGCAGAAGCACTCCTGGGGACAATCTGGGAAGATAGATGGTGGGCCCAGAATTGGAGGTGGAAAGTCTGTAGGTTCTGAGGGCTCAACCTCGGGGATAACAGGCCTTCTGGTAGCACTGGGCACTGGCCTTCTGGTAGCACTGGGCACTGGCTTTCTGGTAGCACTGGGCAAAGGCTTTCTGGTTGGACTTGGTCTCGGCCTTGGCCGTGGTCTTGGCCTCTGAGCCCAGACTGCACTAAGAAGCAAGAAGATTAGTAGAAGATAATATCCAAACCCAGCCTTCATGGTCCTAGTCCTAGTGGAAAGGAAAAAACAGGTGAGATTTCTACTCCTGAATTTCAGCATCATACACTGAAAATATGTTATTATCAGACGCAACATCACACACCAAGGCAGCTAAATCTTTGTTCAAACAATAGCGTTAACAAATGCAAGCAAGGGTCTGAAAACCTGGTCGAGTCAGTTGTGAGCCGCCCCCTGTTTGTGATTCTATGTAATACAGTCAGACAAAATGAGAATGTATAAATACCTTTTAATGTGCTTGATTTTAACTTACCAGACATAAATATCTTTAAAATATTTTTTTAAATACACAGAGGAGATCGATCTTACAGTCACCCTAATCACCTCTGAAGAAAATATTTTGCATAACATTTCATTTAAATGTTTTTAAATGTTAGACATGCTGCGATGCTCACACTAATTTGACGAAAAGCAAACACTGACTGAATTTTGTTGAAGTATTTGCTTACTTCATAGTATGCACCAGCTTACTTGCAGTGGGATGAAATTGGCTACCACAGTTTGAAAGTCCGTCATGATAAACAGGCCTTGCCAGAGTTTCGGTTGATGCACAAGTGCCACCTAGTGACCAATTTCAGGATTGCTAGTACCGCTGCTAGACTAATGTACCGCACTGGCCAAAAGTTTTGAGAATGACACAAAATAATTTTGACAAAGTCTGCTGCCTCAGTTCTTATGATGGCAGTTTGTTTTGAAGAGTGATCAGATGAATTGCAGTTAATTGTAAAGTCCCTCTTTGCTATGAAAATGAACCAAAAAAAAACCTGTTTCCACTGCATTTCAGCCCTGCCACAAAAGGACCAGCTGACATATTTTCAGTGATTCTCTCATTAACACAGGTGAGAGTGTTGATGAGGACAAGGCTGGAGGTCACTCTGTCATGCTGATTGAGTTGGAATAGCAGACTGGATGCTTTAAAACAGTGTTTCTCAACCCAGTCCTCAGCGAACCCCAGCCAGTCCACGTTTTTGCTCCCTCCCAGCTCCCAGCCAATCAGGAACACCAAATAGCTGCTACAGGTGCGCTGGGAGCTGGGAGGGAGCAAAAATGTGGACTGGCTGGGGTTCGCTGAGGACTGGGTTGAGAAACTGCTTTAAAAGGAGGGTGGTGCCTGAAATCATTGCTCTTCCTCTGTTAACCATGGTTACCTGCAAGGAAATACGTGCAGTCATCACTGCTTTGCACAAAAATGGCTTTACAGGCAATAATATTGTTGCAAGTAAGATTGCACCTAAATCAGGCATTTATTGAATCATCAAGAGAGGATCAATTGTTGTGAAGAAGGCTTCAGGGCGCCCAAGAAAGTCCATCAAGCGCCAGGACCAGTCCAACAAGGTCTCCAAAAGTTAATTGAGCTGCAGGATCGGTGCACCACCAGTGCAGAGCTTGCTCAGGACTGGTAGCAGGCAGGTGTGAGTGCATCTACACGCACAGTGAGGCGAAGACTTATGGAGGATGGCCTGGTGTCAAGAAGGGCAGCAAAGAAGCCATGTCTCTCCAAGAAAAACATCAGGAACAGACTGATATTCTGCAAATGGTTCAGGGATTGGACTGCTGAGGACTGACGGGTAAAGTCATTTTCTTTGACGAATCCCCTTTCTGATTGTTTGGGGCATCCAGAAAAAAAGATTGTCTGGAGAAGAAAAGGTGAGCGCTACCATCAGTCCTGTGTCATGCCAACACTAAAGCATCCTGAGACCATTCATGTGTGGGGCTGCTTCTCAGCCAAGGGAGTGGGCTCACTCATACACAGCCATGAATACAGAATGATACCAAAATGTCCTCCGTGACCAACTTCTCCCAACCATCCAAGAACAGTTTGGTGACAAACAGCGCCTTTTCCAGCATGATGGAGCACCGTGCCATAAGGCAAAAGTGATAACTAAGTGGCTCAGGGAACAAAACATCGACATTTTGGGTCCATGGCCAGGAAACTCCCCAGACCTTAATCCCTTAATCTGATTCCTTAATTCCATTGAGAACTTGTGGTCAATCCTCAAGAGGCGGGTGGACAAACAAAAACCCACAAATTCTGAGCATTGGTTATGTAAGAATGAGCTGCCATCAGTCAGGATTTGGCCCAGAAGTTGACAGCATGCCAGGGTGAATTGCAGAGGTCAAGAAAAGAAGGGCCAACACTGCAAATATTAACTCTTTGCATAAACTTAATGTTACTGTCAATAAAAGCCTTTGATACTTATGAAATGCTTGTAATTATACTTCAGTATACCACAGACACATCTGACAAAAAGATCTACAAACATTGAAGTAGCAAACAATGAAAACCAATACTTGTGTCATTCTCAAAACTTATGGCCACGACTGTAGGATTATCACTTTGAAAACTCAGTAAATATAATGCAATATATTTAATTACAATTTTGAAACTGTAACCAGGAAACAGTAATTAAACTGACATAGTAATTTAGCTCTTTTGTTTTATAGAAATAAATGTGCATGTTATGTGACTGGCTGTTCATGTTTCAAGAACAAAAGCTTAGGTTTTCAGGCTGATCCTAGCAGTTAATTAAATGTAGTGCCCTTAATGTTTTCATATATGTTTTATTTGGCAGTTGATTTCAGTTGAGGGGTGGTTCAGTCATAAAACAGGGGCTGCATAGTGCCTCCTGGGGCCTCTTGCTGCTGTCCCTGTCTGGCTGTGCAGACAAGCCCTGGAGGTCCACATCTGGCCGGGTCATTAACAGATTTATCATAAGACTGGAGGCAGTCATTATCTCACTGCTGGTGCGGCTTCATGGGTTAAATATTCATTGTATAGACCAATCTGATTGGCCATAGATCAGCATGTGACAGGAAGATTCATTTCACGCACGGCCTGGCCTCTCTGTGTACCCGACACAGCAAGCCTCTGCTGTAGCTACAGTAACGATGTTTCCAAAACAAGGCCACAAGACTTGGAGTGCATGGACGCCGCGGGCCACACCGAGGTCAGGTGACGATCCCATTCATTTGCTTCACCTGGGCCCCATTAGGAACCTCACAGGACTGAGCTCTTGTGTCCCACACCGCAGACCCCCAAGCCCTCAGCCCGCATTGTGACCTGCCTTACACTGTTCCACAACAGTTCCGTGTTTCCTTCCTCATTGTTTGTGTTAAAGACGTCTTTGCTGTCCTCCCAAAACAAGCCTCTACTCTCCCAACCTCCCCGCCTCACCCCCCCAGTCCGATGGGTTTGCTCACTCTCACTCATCTTATCGTGACCTTGAATCTGGAAAAACATCCAAATATTTAAGAAATTCTTGACAATTTAAATAGTTAATTTAATAAATATCAAGTTTGCTTGTAAAACCTTTGCGAGCAGCCGCTAAGCTGTGAAAATGTAAAGTGCAGCAGTCAGTGTTACAAGGACTTGAAGGGATTTAACACCGGTAGCTTTGCTTGCTCAGACTGTGTTGGTTTTTCAAAGCCCCCATCGCTATTAGCAACAAGCATAGGTGTCCTTGCCAGAAATGTGTCTTCCTGGCCAATAATGAAGGAGACAGTTTGACATTGGGGGGGTGGGGGGGGGGGGACAGAAGTTAATAACATAAAGGCAAAGGTCTATTTATATGGGGGATGAATGACGCCAAATGAAATACTAGAGGTACAGGTCTCCTTGGTTCCTACGCCCCTGTTCTGACCCTCATTTAATTAATTTGTAGTCATGCTAAAGAATAGGTCCGGCATTGTTAGCCAGTTTAGCTAGCTTTGAGTTTCACAGCATCTGATAAATGGACCGTTAAGAAGTTATGAGGTCATTTATGTTCTCCTCAATGAATGATCCCAGACATTCCCTCAGACGTTTGGCCCAAGAATGATAGATAATCACGTCCCTTGTTAGCTGCCACACTTGACTTTTAGTCATTCTCTACTAGGAGTAACTGGGTCAAATGTTTTTCCATCCTACCTCCATAAATTTTCAGTTATAAAGCTACAGTAGACAGTCATCCATCCATCCATCCTTCTATCCATCCATCCATCCATCCTTTATAGAGGGGTCTGAGATCTCTCCTGGGCACCACAGAAGGCAAACCTGCACCCTGGTTGTGATGCCCATCCACAGAAGGAAATTTGAATGATGCTGGACTGAAAAAAAACACTGCTTCCACCAGTAGGGGGTACTGTCTGGACCAGAGGGCAACTAGAGGCAAAATACAATACCATAGCTACAAACCTGTAGCTGAATGATGGAGCTCAAGCACATAATAATATCTTAATAAAAGCAGCTGCAGAGGAGGTATTTGTGCAGCAGTGGGTCTCACACAAAGCCAGGGTTGTGGCGGCCTAGGAGGGCGGGACGGGGTGATCTGCAGATGTTTGGCTTTGGCTCGCTGGCTGAGTGACAGCTGCCTTGTCAGGAAGGCATGGAGGCTGAGGATTGGAGGACTTGTTTATTTCTATGGCATGCGCTTGTGTGTACGTCAGTGGGTGTGTGTGTGTCTGTGTGTGTCTGCGTGTGTCTGCGTGCCAAGGAACCTCAAGCAACACAGAGTAGCTAAAAAGCATGTCTGGACAATTAAACGTGGCGACTCTGTGTTCCAAGAATTACACATTATATACTTTGCATCATGAGGATGTAAGAGACCAGATTGCTGTTTTTTTATAAAAACAAACATAATGCACTCTACTACTTATAACCTAGCAATCAAAGCTTCCTCTCGTAGCTTTTGTTTTTGTTTGTTAAATGTAAGGATGAGAAGTTTAGTTGTTGTAATATCTGGTAAATGATTTATGATACAAAGACTCAAAAAGTCAGGTTACATGTCATTGAAAAAGAATAAGAAAGACAGGTCTGACTTTAGCCCAAACTGATCACATTCCTTGGCGCAGATTTGCTTCTATTTCACTTTTTTTTCCTTGCATGAGATCCAAAGTATGTCTGCAGAGTGGATTTTTCCATTGCTCTAATATACTACAGCAGAGCCATAGTGAACTGGCAGAGCCGGACATCCAGTTAAATGAAAACATCTTGGGTTTCAGTAGATTTTGGTAATAACAGGCTGCTTATGAATCTTCTATGCAAACATTGTGGGGGGGTTCTGTTGTTACACTTCAGGTATCTGTATACGTTTTCCGTCTGCTAATCAGTGTAATACAGCAGATAAACATTACAGATCTGAAACAGGAGGGCTGATGTTTTAAATCTCAGTGAAAAAAACTGTAGCATTTTTTGAACATTTCTGCATGAAACACATGATTGATTAATGATGAATGAATATGGGATCAGTATGTAACTAGCACTTAGTTTCTGGTTAATTAATACATTAAGTAAGAGTGTACAATTACATTAATTGTGGCCCCTCAAGTAAAATGTTACCAAAATTATTTACAGTATAGCAATACTCTGCGACTGAGAACAAGAAAGCTGATAAGTAAAGCAGCCACCCGACCCCTGATTATCTTTGTAATACAAATCATATATGGCATGCATGAACTGCTTATTGACAAGTCTGCCTGTTGATTTCTATTACATGTATGTTATGCTTTTCCTAAATAGATGCATTTGCTTCATACATAAATAGCTATATACATTCATACAGCAATGTACACCCTAATGTGACAAATCCTGAGACTACATCCTTCAATAGTGATATATAAATATCAGCAGATGCAGTAAAGGTGTGTAAATGTGAAGGAAAATGCAAAAGTCAATATCTGCATCTTCATTCCGTTTCATTCTATTTGCAGCTGAATTTTACATCCCTGCCATCACACTTCATTAAGTCTCAGGAAAGTGGAATAAATGATAGAATTATACAAGTATGATGGTGTTTGTTATGGGTCTCAGTGAGTTGGCTCACTGTCGGATTCCTGATACGCACGGATCTGATCAAGCGCGGTGAAAACATCCCGTCACGAACGGAGTCGGATCTGTGAACACTATGAATTCTTGTCCCAGCTAAAACTAATCATATTAAGAGACTTTTTTAGTGCTGTGGGTGTCTGTGTTTCTCAGTATGCTTTAAAAGAAAAGCAATTCAAAAACTCATCGAAAAAACACTAAATTTGGTCTTTTAACTTTTAAAAGGTGTTACTCGGATGAAACGACATGTTCACGAAGCGCCGAGCGCAGCGCAGACACACTGGAAGGACAGTGTGCTGGCAGACCCGTTCTATAGAATCGCACAGGTATGGTTTATTGCCTTAGAGAACCAGGTTTACCTCCAAAGTCATGGGGTCACTCCCCACCTTAAGCATCCAGGTAAAAAGGAACAAAAATCTGAGCCCCTTACCTGCAGCTGGTACCGGGCCTCCTTAATGAAGCGACAATCTCTCTCTCTCCCTCTCTCTCTCTTTCTCTCTCTCTCTCTGAAAGGCTCCTCAGGTTCTCCCTCCCTCTCTTGTCCTCTGAGTCTCCTTCTCCTCCTCGAGTGGAGCTGTGTGCCTATTGGATCCCTTTTCCTCACAGATCCTTCCTCTGAAGGTCAGCAGTCCTGCCTTCATCGCACGCCCAGGAAAAGCGTGTTAGTTTTAATATGCATGGCCACCCCTCTGCAGCGGGAGGCGATGTGACTGAACCGTGTTTTCCGGAGCTCAGCCTGGAGTGGGACAGTGATCAGAAGGTGCAGTGCACTGTGCTCCGTTCTTGGCTGCTCCAGCTGATGAATCGCACCCTCTGGGTTTCTCCAGCCAGGGCACCGCTTCATTGCAGAGGAACGCTCCATCTTGTTGGGGTCCGAGCGTGAGGGGCACTGAATCTTTTCTCCTGAGCACAGGGGCTTGGAGAACTGATTCCATGTCATCTACTGTGTTCCTGCAAGCACTGTGTCCTCAGAAACCCTCATAATCCTGTCTGCTCTGCCACAGAGGCCAGGCTAAAAAGAAGAGCATTGAGGGTTCTAGGGTGGGACATTATTTCTGCCCAAGCCCCCCCTCATGCTGGGTGAGATCCAAAGCCTGATGTTTAAGCACATTAGTGACAAATTCCGTTGGGGGCTACAACTAGAGATGTATGAAGGGATAACATGTGCTGCGCTGGTTGCTCAAATACAGAATATATACTCCCATATAGTTAAACTCATATATATATAATGTAAAAAGTTTATTATATATATTAGACTTTTTATATATACAGCAAACAATGCATGAGCAGTTATCTTGGCATTCTGTTAGTAGTTGCATACATTGCTAATCTCTTATTCACATCTACCCTTCAGCCCCACAACTTCCATCTGACAATAAATCTCATTTAGAGGATTATCCGTGTCCTGTAGTGCCCAGGAAAGACCTACCAGAAAAGCACACAAAGATGTGCATGTTTGCCAAGACCCCCGTGTCTTGCCTCTTGTCTGACTAATCGCTGGGGAGAGATTACGTTATCCCCAGCACTTTGCTATGAGTCGGAGTTGTGTAGCGATCTCGGTAACATTTTCCATGGCCATCCCCTGTGTCTCTGTTAATTATGCTGCGCTGTTTTTTTTCTGATGGGAAAAGGGAACCAGCTTCCTGAGAGGCTTTTCTGTCTGGCCGGAATCTGTGTGTCAGAACTAAACAGCAGCTGTTACAAGGTGGAAACCATCACCACCATTTTGCTTTTGTTACCGAATAAACCATCGATCACGTATTTCCATGGCAAGCTGAGCACTTTTCCCCCAAACAGCAAGCAGCATTAGTGATGCAACAATTCAAGCTGCGTGTGATGTTTGCATCCAGGATGTTGCCATGTTTCAATCATAAATAGTTATTGTTACACACTCAGTTTTTCCAACATCTTAGCCAGGGTTAAGTGTCATCCTACAGTCAAACAACTCTTCTTATTCACTAAATACTTTTTGCTTAATCCATCCATCCATCCATCCATCCTGATCCATCCATCCATCCCACTTATCAAGTGTGGAGTAATGGGGGTCTGGTACCTATCACATGAAGCACAAGGCATGGGGCAGCTTCAATGAGGCACCAATATTTTTTGCATAATAATTTTTTGATAACAGTTCTATGAATGCTACGTCTATCAGAACCTATGACCACATTCATAACACTTCATAATGCATTCATAAAGCATTAAAAATGGGCATAATTATTTATAAAAAGGCATAACACATTATAGGCATGTTTATTATGCATTATCACTGCCTTATGAATCTCTCATCTATAATGCACTATAGATACCTTCATAATGCATTATAATGGTGGGTATAAACATTAAGGATGCTTTGCACTTAATTATGAAGGTATCTATAGTGATTCCTTGGAGCTTATTAAGTATTATAATCAACACTATAATGCCTTATGACTCTCAATATGACTCTCCTTTATTAATTCTTATACCGACCATCATAATGCCTTATGCAGATATCTACAATGCATTATAGATGACAGCTGTAGTAATGTGTGAATGTTTTTTTCTAAAGGTGCAGTTACTGTAGCTTCCACATGAAGCATGTGCCACCTCCAAAGGCGACCCACACGTTTGTCCATCCATCCCAGTGGATGTTCTCATCGCTTCCAAAGGGCCATTTCCCACAAATCACCACTCAGAATGTATTGTAAATCAATGTTTACACAGAGTCACTGAGGGAATTCACTTTCCTATTCACACACTATTGCATGGTGCCTCTGCCCTTCTGTTTTATACCATGGACATTTGCTAGATTAGTTTGGTCTGTATAACATCCGATGTGTGTGGCTCAGTGGGCTGAGGCTCCGTGTGGTTGCTGGTTCAAGCCCAGTCTCAGCATGTTTCTGCACACATGAGCAAGGCCCTTAACCCCCGGCTCCCTGTGTACTGCTGTGGAAACATCATGCTCTCGCCTATGGAGAACATGATGGGGTTAGTGAAAAGAGAATTTCCCCATGGGGATCAATGAAGTATAATCGTTCCATAGACTTTTTTGAGAAGGCAAGGCAGTTTTAGCTATGGGGGGTTAAGGGCCTTGATCAGGGGCCCAACTCTGAAATAACTTTGCTGGCCACAGGATTTGAGCCACCCGACCCCCAACACACACACACACACACACACACACACACACACACACACACAAGCAAACAGTGTTCAGGTGGGTAATTAGAATAAGGTGTTTGCCATGAGAAGAAGTACATGAAAATGTTTGCACACAAATTAAAACAAAGAATTGTGTGGAATTGCAACACTGAAATAATATTTTTTTACTTATTAACATAAGTTAAAACAACACAATTCACAATAAACAGTGCATTGAAATAATTTTGGAAGATGCTTCTGCTCTCCCCTTTAGAAATATCATTGCAAAAATCTATCTAGAAATTGTTACAGCATGACTGTGGAATCCTGTTCTCTTATGTTGTTGGAATGATCTGGAACCTTCCAATTCCCGCAGTTCCAGGGTCGCAGATGTTTTGTTCTGAAGAGCCCAAAAGTGCGGCTGCTGTCGAGGCGGAATAATCTGCTGTGCTTTCTGCGTCCCCATGAGTCATTTACAGCATGAAAGGCTGCAATGATTCAATTGTTCAGGCTTTCTGGCGCCTCCAAGATAGTAGAAAAGTGCTGATTCTAAAATTGCTGATAACAGAAAATCTGCTTTGCTGCACCATTCATTTCTGCAATTATTATTGATGTTTTTTTATGGTACATGTATGAAGGCTTTGCACGGTATTGCACAGTTTTTAGCTTATTTAGCTTTACAACAATCAGGATTCTGACTCATCAGAAGATGCGGACAGAGTCTAGTTTGGCAAGCAGATGCCTGTCTGCATGTGTGGTCCCAGTGACCAGTGTCCCATGACGAACTACTTGAAAGAAATTTCTGGCACGTACCGGTAAATTGCAGTAACCTTGATACATTTACTGTACTGCTGATTTTGTAGGTATAAACATAACAGTTCTGCCGATTTCACATCTGTCTTAAGATCATAATTAATGTGACAAAATCAAGTGTCACAAACACGTTTGAATGTTCCAGGTAGATTAGCAGCCTGGTCCAGCAGTGCCCGCAGCAGGCCTGCACAGTGGGGCAGCTTTTCCCATGACCTACTCCTCCTCCCCCTCAGCATTTCGCAGGCCTGCTCCAGTGAAGACATCATGCTTTGTGTAATGATGATCCCGCTGGGGCCTGCTCCCGCACCCACTCCTCTCTACCTCCGCGGTTCGCTGCCGGGTTGCAGGCCTGCTCCAGTGCTGACGTCATGCTTTGTGTAATGATGATTCCGCTGGGGCCTGCTCCCGCACCCGCTCCTCTCTCCCTCGGTGGTTCGCTGCCGGGTCGCAGGCCTGCTCCAGTGCTGACGTCATGCTTTGTGTAATTATAATCCCACTGGGGCCTGCTCCCGTACCCGCTCCTCTCCACTTTATCTGCTCCTGCTAACTCATTCCACATGTGTTTATGCTTCTCATGACATCATAAACGGCTTGTCTCCATCAACAAATGAAGGAAACATTGAGTAAACATGCTTTTTGATAATGCTATTCCAGAGAATTACTACAATTTGTAATTAATAAATACTTGTGACTTATGGAATAAGAGTCTTATGGTCTTGTTAGTCTAAATATTACAAAAAAAATTGAAATTATAAATGTACTGAAAGGCACAGGTTTTGATGTTTTAAGCTAACATACAGTATATCTAACATAAGATCACTAGCAGACTTTATGTTGCAATGTTAGACAGGTTTGAAAACAGTCTCTGCTCTGAATAAAGGCAATAGCTGATAGACAGGATGAATTTCTCACCATGGAAAATATTTTTTTCAACAGAAAAATACTGAGGACTTCTTCGTGAATAACATCAGTGCTGTAGGGAGGAATGAAGATTAAGAAAATAGACTGATGCTGATGACTTCTGAGTGCGGAAAAGATTACAGGCGTCTGGAATGCCAATTGCTCTATAGTTTAATTCATCTTTCCAACTCTGTTTAGACCAAATATGCCAATTGGGTAGAACTTCAGCTTTAGACACAATAAATGACTTCAGGCTTGGTTATTTGGGTGTTCTTCACTTGTTACTTGTCATATAAGCCTTTGATATACGGCCTGCATTATTATTACTATACGTAACCCTTTGACACTCATATTCTGAATAAATATACACTTTCGATTGTCTATTTGTGTTGACTGAAGTGCTAATCATACCCTGGACAATGAATTGGGGCCATTAATGATGATTTTTAAATTACTGGAATCTCTTTATCAAACAGCAACTTTTGTTAGAGCCATTAATCATTCAAACTTCATTTATTTAGCACCTTTCAAACAACTCAAATGCAACTCAAAATGCTTTGCTGGTGATTGACACAAGTTTATTAAAAATGCATTTATAAACTTTTTATATTATATATAAATGATATAATTTATATATAATATAAATATCTGACATAAAAGCAGCTTGATGCTGTACTATACTTCGACTCGACTCTTGATAAATTGATATAATGAACTGGTAAGTACTTATAAACAAAGGGATCTGACCATTGCATCTCGTCACCCCAGGGGTCAGAGCAACAGAACAGGTGTCGGCAGTACAGTGCCTCAGGATATCTGAGGTGACTCACTGCAGACTAAACTAACTATTAACCCAATACAAAACAAAGTGGTCAAAATTCCTTCTTAC